GGTTTGTGTGTCTGAGCTGGTTTGTGTGTTTGAGCTGGTTTGTGTGTCTGAGCTGGTTTGTGAGTCTGAGCTGGTTTGTGTGTCTGAGCTGGTTTGTGTGTTTGAGCTGGTTTGTGTGTTTGAGCTGGTTTGTGTTTGTGAGTCTGAGCTGGATTGTGTTTGTGAGTCTGAGCTGGATTGTGTTTGTGAGTCTGAGCTGGATTGTGTTTGTGCGTCTGATCTGGTTTGTGTGTTTGAGCTGGTTTGTGCGTCTGATCTGGTTTGTGTGTTTGAGCTGGTTTGTGAGTCTGAGCTGGTTTGTGTTTGTGAGTCTGAGCTGGATTGTGTGTTTGAGCTGGTTTGTGGGTCTTTAACTGGTTCCAGGATGTTAAATATTGGTATGTTGGTTCAAATCCTCCATCAGAATACTCTGTAATTCCTAGAATTGGTTCCAAAAACCTACGATAACTCCTTAATAAATACTGCAGATAATTACACATGGCAATAAAACAAATGCATTACATAAGAGAGATGTAAAAATAAAAAAATGATAAATAAATAATGAATAAAAAGGGTTTTTATTGGCAGGTAGAGACTGATATACAGGACGAACCCTTAACTTACTCTGAACTTTAAACTAACTTAGCTTATTTATTTTTATTTTATTTTATATTACTTTTTCTATTTTTCTGTTTGTTTTTTTTAATCTAACTTACATTAACTTTAAACTTACTTAACTTATTTATTTTTATTTAATTTTCATATTTGATATATTTTTCTATGAATGCGTTGTATGTTGGAAATTTACTTTGGGCGTTTTTAGTTAAACATTTGATGGAATTTCACTTGTTGTAAATTCGTGTGTTTTGGCCTCGTTAGTGGAGCTTTTGCTGTATTTTGGGTTCTTGGTGCCAGAACCAGAACCAGAACCAGAACCAGAACCAGAACCAGAACCAGAACCAGAACTAGAACCAGAACCAGAACCAGAACCAGAACCAGAACCAGAACCAGAACCAGAACCAGAACCATGAAGAAACATCAGTTTTTCTGAGCTAAAGCCCAATTAGAGGCAGCTAAAGGCTCCTTTTCCTCTCTGAATCTGCTTAAACGTCATCTCTCTTTGTTTTTCTCACACTTTCTCAAACTAAATCTGTTTTTCATTGTTCATTTTTGCCCCTTTGTGCTCATTTTATGGCAATTCT